GGGATTGGTAGCAGTTGTCACTAGTGTTGGCGAGTGGCCGTATGGATTACATGGAATTACGGATTACAACTGGTATTTTTTGGCCTGGGCCATGTCTGTATTCTGTCTGTGTTCAGATCTGTGTTTGTCTTCATTCACCATGGTCATAATGACAACAAAATTTGAGTTTCTTCAACAGGCCGCTATTGACTGTAATGAAAAGGGTAAAAACATAATTCTGTGAGTGGAAGACTTTGCTGGAAGGTGTCTGGAATCAAAGGGAGGAGATCATGGTCAGTGACCTTGTCTGATGTTAATGTTCTATAAAATTGTTCATGTTTAATGGGAAAATTCTGCCTGCTGTGAGGTCCCAGTCTGCTTCCGGAAGCAGGGGCTGCTTTTCCCTTTTTCAGGCCCCTCTTTTGGCCAAAGGCAGACGGATTCAGGTCTTAGGAAATTAATTGGTAATATCCAGATTTTTATAAGTGCTGAGATTTATTTGATCAGCACGTTGTTTCGACAGCACAGATTTCAGCTGGCCTGGGGTCAGTCTCTCCTATTCCTTTGGTTGCAAATTGCGTTCTTCAGTCCTCAGATGTAGAAGGGCCTTGTCGGCCTGTTTAAAGCTCTGAATAGCATATGTTGGCCAGTGGGAACAAAAGTAAGAATCAGAAACAAAATGTTGGGGCCGGGGATATAGCTCAGTGGCACAGCACCTGCCTGGCAAGCACAAGGTCCTGGGTTCAATTCCTGGTACCAAAAAAAAAAAACATTCACACTTTGGGGCTGGGGATTTAGCTCAGCGGCAAAAGCGCCTGCCTGGCATGTGCAAGGTCATGAGTTCAGTTCCCGGTACTGGAGAAAAAACAAAACAAACAAACAAACAAAAAAAACAAACAAAATGTTGATTTTAGATAATTACAAACTAATTACCTTGAAAACTGGGGAAAATTCTGTTCATTATTTTAACTCTACCGAAGGGTTGTAGGCTAGCTTTTTAAATCCTAGTTCTCAAATCTTAGAGAATTTTTGCAGCTTTTAAAAATTAAACTCAGTTAAAATTGTTTTTGGATGAAGAATTTCAGAATTTATGACAAGTAGGAATACACTGGGTGTCATAAAGTGCTAGTCATAGCTAGAGCTGATTATTTTGGGCATTTGGGGTCCTTTATAGATGAAGTATATGCCTATAAACACTGAGTCATACCGCCGCTAAACATTTACTGCTGATCTGTGTTGAGGAAGAGAAGGAGAGGAATGGATGTGTGAGACAGTTTTTCTCCCTCAGGAGTCATAGATGAGTGAATCTGCCTGCTCTGCAGACTTTTCTTCTTGTCACTAAAAGCACAGATCCACAGCCAGGCTTCCACAGAAATTGCCTGAGGGTTCATTACGTGCTCCTTGATGTTTACTTCAAGAAACTGAGAATCATGGAACATTTTATTTTGTAAGAGATTTTAAGAAATTATTGCATCAAATATATTGGTTATTTATGGTATTCTTTAAATAAAAAATATGATCGTGGTGCCATTCCTGTGCCCACGTGGTCCCCAGGCATCAAGAGTATGCAGATGGCGCAAAGGGCCTATTTACTTTCCTGATTGAAAAACACAGCAGGGCCAGGGCCATGGCTCAGTAGCCCAGCACCTGCTTGGCAAGTGCAGGGTCCTGAATTTGATTCCTGGTACCTGAAAACAAAAAAAAAAAAAAAAAAAAGAAAAAAAAAAAAACAAACAAACCTGGCCAGTGGTATTTATTGATGAAACTATTATTTGTAAAAAAAAAGAGTGAATATTGTCTCACTAGTGTAAGAACTTGAAAGAGTAAATAAAATCTAAAAGGTACAATAGATACTGTGAAAGGGAAAGAAATTGCTCAAAAGGAAAGAACAGCTGGGATGAAGGAAACGAGAAAAGAAAGAAAAAAGGGAAAAATATGTATATATTATATGCACAAGATAGCTAAGATAATTGTGCTACTAATTTCTATTGCTTTATTGAAAGGAACAATTAATGTTTAATCATTTGATCAATCTTCCATGCCTATATTTGTTTATCTGAGTAACCAAATTGGAGATAATAATATGTAATCCAGCAACCATTGTTAATTTCCTATCACCTTGTATGAAATTCTGTATTGCTTTTATTGTATTTGTGCTGTTTTGTTTATGTTTGTTTGTTTGTTAATATGTTTTCATTCTTTTATCTTTTTAAAAAAAAACAAGAGTGAAGAAAGCACGGTCTTAGACCTAGAGATGGAAAATGCACAATTCTAAAAAGTGTTTGAAGCAGTAGGCCAAGATTGTCCCTTTGCAACCCCCTTTCCTTCAAGCATCAAAAGCTTGTCCGTATTGTTGCCTCACTCAGAGTGGCCTTAAAAGAAAGAAAAAAAGAGAAAGAAACATTGCAAAGATCAGTGTTTTTGCCATAGGAATACAATGAACTGCTTTTATTATAATTGACAGCCAATATTTTCATTAATGATGTTAGCAGGAGTTATGAAAAATTTATTTTGTAAAGGATACAGATCAGATTTGTAACATTATGGGGCGCTGACTAAGTCCTCCTTCAGCATATTTACAAAAGTTTTGCGGTGTTTTCCTCTTTCATGAATGCTTAATGCTTGCTGTGGACCTCGAGTTCAGGTTGAGCTCGTGGATAGCTTCAGTTGACCTTTAGCCTGAGGATGTGCCCTCATCTGCGGAGGGCCTTGCACAGCAACAGAAGTCCGACAGGCTCAGGGCAGAGCCTGGTGCAGCCCTGTGCCTGCAGTGGGGCATGGTGGAGGGGGCTTTGGAGGGGGGCCTTTCCGTCAGTCCATAGCGTGGGTGAGGAATCAGTATTGATGCCCACTGTCTTTGTTCTCTTTGTTCTCGTTATGAATGGAGTGGTGAATTAGCCTGAGACAAGGAATGTTAAAATGTCTATGAAAGATTACAATAATAGCTGAAAATGACATGCTGATAGAATATTCCCTTTAAGGCATGCCATTCTTTGGTAAATGCTCTTAAAGTACAACTAGGGGAGGAGAGTCTCAATATTCATACATTTTCTGATTGCATCTTACATGTCAGGCACTAGTGTGGGTGTTTGGGATCCAAAGATGAATAACACACATTTCCTGCTTCCTAGGAACTCTTGGTACAAAGCAAAAGAGTTAAAACATAGAAGATGATGAAACCATTGTGAAGTGAGATGAATTATGAGGATGTTAACAGGACACAGAGGAGAAACACCTTACTTAGTGACGTGGCTTGGGAGGGGAAAGAATAGGCTTTCTCGGGTAGCTAATGTCTACACTGAGTGTCAGTTGGGTTTAACTGCAGGAAAAAGAAATGGAATTGGAGAAAGACATCAAAATCATGGCATTTGGAGAACTGTGAGCACTATGGTGAGGAGCAACTTTGCTTGCTTTTGCTTATTTTAATATACTTCTCATATAGTATTAGGACTATCCAGTCAGAAAGCCTCCACTGCTTCTGCTAAGTAGTGAGAACATCTAGCTTTGTAACTCCAGAAGTATCATATACCCATAAGAACTCAAAACAGGAAGGTGGCACTAACTGGGCCATACTATAGGCTGTAGTCAAAGTGAAGGGCCAGAAAACTGCATGTTCACTTGACTTTTCCAGAATAAAGATTTTGAAAAATCTCTCAGCTTTTATATTTTACACAGAAAACTTTAGGAGAGCTACTTCTTTATTCACTAAATAGAAACACACCTGGGAATTGCTAGAAAGGTGGCTTTCCATTCTGCACCCATCCTGGCTGCCATGCTGCATTTTAAGTTTGAATCTACTTCCCAGTCCTGGATTACAGCTAGTAGAAATACTGACTGCTGCACTTTCTTTGTGAGGCGGGTCCCACAGGTAATGCCAGTCAGATTCCTTAAAGTCCCTTGTTGTCATTCCTCTGCTCAAGGTGTTGCGTGCCTCTTTTTCTGTCTTACTTGTGGGGGGAAATCCAGATTCTTCACTGATGTTCTAGACCTGCTGAATGAACTGTAGTACCTTTATTTCTTCAAATTCTTATTATTAGCAGCACTCAATATGTAGAACATGTACAATCCATAGTATCTACCATTTTCTACTTTTTAACTTTCTCACAGATCCGCTCAGGGACTAAATTTCTGTTTTCGTACATCACAACACGCACTCCAAATTCTAGTTCAACCTTACAATTTCTGCAGACATACCTTTGTCCCTTGTGTAGGAAGTGAAGATATATTTGCTTATGTTTTTATTCATCACACATATTAAGCAGTTGCTTTGCTTCAGTAATCAGGTGAATATGAGAACCTGCTTCAAGGTTCATCCTGTATGGCTTTAATCTAATAAACAGTTATGAGGGGGTGTGGCCACCTCAGAAATAAGAGGGTACAGACATCCACATGAGAGTTCATGGCAGTAGTGGCAAACTCAGAAGACAAGGAGGAGTGCCGAGGAGAGCTCTAGTGTGTCCACGAATCTCAGAGATCTTGAAAATAGTGAGAAGGCGTGTCCATCTGAGAGCAGAGTGCTATAAGCACGCAGAGGTTTAAAATGCACAGGAGTGTTCAAACACCAGAGTCAAATCTTGCTGGGTCTGACAATAAGGGCAAGGGTACAATGGGACAACTAAACTGTAACGGGGATTGTCCTCTGAAGCACTGGTTAGAATGCTAAGAATTATCCCTGAAACATGGTAGATATGCAGTAAACATTTATTTGATGAGTGAATCACTTTACCTACTATTAATATGTTAATCCTTTATGTTTAAATAGATCTATGTAAATACATTTAATAATTCACCAGCTGATGCCTATTGCTTATATTTGAATATATTCAATTAAATATATTTAAGGTACTAGGGTGCACCTGAACTCATTAAGTATTCGTCTGGCATTTTCACTACTCCGACTGTTACGGTAGAGATTAGAAAATTTTTACTAATATGAGTACCAAAAGTGGAGCATTCTTAAAGTTAACATGTATAAGCAAAATGTTCACATCTATTTGTGTTTTTCTTTTTTCTTTTTCTAGGGTCAGACATTGTTCAGTGGTTAATAAAGAACTTAACTATAGAAGATCCAGGTAAATAAATCATTTCCCATTGCTAGAATTCTTTTTCTCTGTGGCTTTAATAAATATGTTTTCTCAGGGCTATTCAATATGCTAAGTAAGCATATTAAATAATAATTTCTCCTGAGAAATTATAATTAAATTTGAACTCTGCTTTTAGCATTTACAGAAAGTTTGTCAGTCAACAAACATTTAACTGAAATGTATATTTTTACAATTTTTTTACATATTTCATGTCCTACTTTACATTCTTTGATTCAGGTTAAGGGTTATTGTTAGAATGGATGATATATAGATATATATCATAATTGATTGTATAATTAATTATGTATATTGATTATATATCCATAATTAATTGTATATAATTTATAGCAAGTGATTATGAAGTCATGAGTATATTCTTTGTAAGAAACATAAAAGAAAATCATAATAATATATAATTTTGCCTTAACTCTATTTTCAAATGAAGTTTGAGGACAATATGTTATTTCTAATTCTGAATTTTTTGTCAGGTGAATGTGGTGTGTGTGTGTGTGTGTGTGTGTGTGTGTGTGTGTGTGTGTGTGTGTGTAATGCTCTTCTTTATGTCACAAACCCGCTAGCTCTGGTGGCCATTACATCAGTTCTGCAGTACATCACCAGTTTCCACACCTCAGCTCAGGAGCAGTCTCTGCCCCCTGACGTTTTGCACTGTCTGGAGCAAATGCCCACCTACGGGAGGCAGTTGATGCCTTTTAAAATCATAAAGTAAAAGCCTTCATCTGTGGCAGCAAACTCACATCACTGAAAAGAAAGTAAGACGTTCTCTGTTGTTAAAAGAAGGTGCTGAGAAACAAAAACAATGGCTTTTGAAAAGTGGGGGTTCCGGGGGGCCGGGAATGACACAATAGAGAACAGAGGTGCGGTCATCTGCACAACACCCCATCTACACGACACCCGTCTCATCGATTGCAAAGGAGCTTGGCGTGGTTTGCTGTGGCCTCTTGTGATTCCCACAAGGACTTTTTTAGACTTCACTACCTGGAGATGGCAAGGTTCATAATTTTTCCGCGTTGTGAGCTAACTTTGTAAAGCCATGCCATCAGAAATTGCTGGTGAAATTCTGTGCATAAAGTCTATAGATGACCTTTGCTCACTTACATTAGTTTTTAAAAAACCCTCACTTGGAGGCTAATAGCAGGTTTAGCAGGTGCAGCAGGTTTTATGGCTTTAAAACAATTAAGTCAAGATGAAGCAGCTAATGTCAGTATCGTATTATTACTAAGTGAAAAGGGGAGATAATTATAAGGAAAGAAAGCCATGTTCTTAGTGAGTTCACCTTTCAGCACACCCCAGGGGCATGCCTGCTTTGTATACACCGTAGCACCCCATCAGATGACCCCAGTGCTACAACAGATTGGCATAGTCAGTGATAACTAGGGAAGTACTGATTGGCAAAGAATATTATAGATCACAAGTTTAAGTGAATATAAAAGTTGTTTTTGTAAGTTAAAGAACGAAGATGTATTTCAGCAACACTTTGAGAAGGAAGAAAAGTATTTGCAAATACAGTATAATAAACTGGTATGGAACAGTCACTATTTGTACTTTACATGTGAGATCTCATTTTAGCTATAATATGTATGAAACATTTATTTTCTTGCTGAATAGTTTAAGCAAATTGTAAAGCTTCATTATAAGATGTATGAAGAGATAAAGTAAATCATATCCAGGAAAACATATACATTCTTTAATCATATGTATGATAGGCTGACAAGTACTTTTTAATTTTTTTGATTTGGCTTTACTTTGAATGAAAAAAATAGGCTAATATACTAATTTTTAAGAAGAGTAAAGAACACCTGTGATTGCTGTGACTATATAATAGATTCTACATACAGAAAATGAATCAATCTGGTAACAGTTCTGAACTTAATTGAATATGGTTAACTGTGTAGCTGATGTTATGATAGCTACTTTGGTGGTGGAATATATGAAATTAACCATATCACTTTGGAAGTGTTTGTGAATAAAGACTAAGTATAAGTGCGATCAGAACATATGGTGAATATTTAAGTTTTAAAAATGTATTACAGGAAAAGACATATTGCCATTAATCCCCCTCAGAAGGCACCCTTTTGCTTCCAAAACATGTATCCCATTATTCTTGATACCTTCTGAAGCAGTTCTGGAAGTCCCCTTGCATTGTCCTGGCTGCCTCAGTGTCCTGAATTCATTCAAAACATTTACCTTTCACAACCATTTTGACTTTGTGAAAGAGCCAGAAGTCGCTTAGTGCCAGATCCAGTGAATGCAATGGATAAAAACTCACTGTAATGGGTTTTGTCAGCCTGCTTTTCAATGGATAGGACACAGCAGCAGCGTTCACCAGATCTCTTTACCACACCTCATCAAGAGGACCTCCAGAACTTCATCTGCAAGTGGCAAGGACAATGGGATAAGTGTGTTCAAAGCAAGTGAGAATATTTTAAGGGAGATTAATGGTAGTGTGTCTTTTGCTGTAATAAAATTGTTTAATTTAAATGCTTAGCATATGTTTTGATCACCCCTAGTAATGCCACATCCAGTTCTGACCTCATTAGTTCTTTATCTGGTTTTTAACCTGTGTTCGGTAGCTAGGGGATCCTTTGAATCTAGGTGTCAGTAGTTTGTTGAAAGAGGGTTTTATGGGAAGTTGGCGGAAGACACTAATACTAAGTAAGAGAGCAGGTTGTTATCACCCTTCTTGGGAAAGGATGAGAGAGATGCATTATCTCCAGGGTCTTATCCAAGATCAATGAATACATTATTCTTTGTGCATTTAGCAGTCAATATTTCATTAGCTTAACACTTAATACCTTTCCACTCCCATTGTAGCAATCCAGTGGACATGCAGCAGATTATTCTACTGGAGTCTGTAGTGCTATTAGACATTTAATCACACTGTTATTCTTTCAAAATGAAGCTGGATTTGAACTTTTAAAATTTAAGGTTATTTTTAGTTATATCAATGCACATATACATTTACATACAGTTGTAAGACAAACAGACAGGATTAGTCCAAGATACTTGCTTTCTTTGCCTTTTTGACTTCACTTGGATAACCTATATTATTGCAGGAAAAATCCATTTCTTTATTGATTCATTTATACTTTCATTTAACAATTAAAAAAAAAAAATTACCGCTATGGACCAGGCACTGGAAATAAAGGATACACACTTCCTTCCTTGATCGACTGACTTTCTTCGGCCTTGGAGCTACCACATTTCTTTTTTTTCGCTGACTGTTGGTTTGTCTTCAGTGACCTGCCGTGGCTCTTCCCTCTTCATGCCATCTGTGCATTTGGAATGTCCCAAAGTGCCTGTATCTGTCCATCCTCACTGTTGCTAGGCGACATGTGCGCAGGACTCCCATACTCCATCCGCTGGCCTCTCCCACGAAGGGTCACACTCATACCGTCAGAATGGAGCCCTGAGGTTTTGTCCCTGTCCCACTTGCTCCTTCCTGTGTTCCCTACTTCCGTTACAAGAGTCAAATCTGCTATTAATGAAAATGCTCTGTCTTTCCATTTATTGAAATTTGATTTGTTGCTCCTCAGGAGTGCTTTAATGTTTTCTTCATAGAAGTTTTGCAAATTTCTTACTAGGTTTATACAATTATTTTTAATTAATTACTTTTATTGGTACATCTTAGGTATCCATAATGACCGTATTCATCATAGGGAATTTGTACCGGTAGCTGATGTATGTTGACTTTTCTTTTTTCCCATCCTCCTCGCCTCACTTCAAGCTCTCTTCCTTTCCTTATTTACAAAAGCTTTGTTTCCATTTTTACCTTCTTTTCTCTTCCTTCTTTTCCCCATTGTCCCTCCCTAGTTTTCCTCCCCATTTGAACATTTTCTTCCTATTTTACAATATCTATTATACATTTTGATGCTTATTTACACTTTTCAGTTTCTCACACCACAAAAACCACGCAGCATTTAAACATGTATGTATGATTTATTTCACTTAAGAGTGTGGTCTCCAGGTGCATCCGTTTACCTAGAAATGTCTCAGATTTATCCTTCTTCACGGCAAAGTAGTACTCCATTGTAAAAAAAAAAACCCACATCTTTTTTATCCATTCATTGGTTGAGTGGCATTTGGGTTGTTCCCAAGAGTTAGCTATTACAAACTGTGCTGTGGTCAACAAAGGCAAAGCAGGGGACATCACAATCTCTGACTCGAAGTTATACTATGGATGTACTATGATATCAACAGCATGGTACTGGCAAAACAAAACGAAAACAAACAGAAAACAGACCTGAGGATCAATGGAACAGATCAGAAGATGCAGAGATAAGTCCAAACACACTCAGCCACCTTATCTTTGACAAAGGGCCCAAACATGTTCACTGGAAAAAAGACAGCCTCTTTAATAAATAGTGCCAGAAAAACTGGCTTTCCACATGCCAAAGACTAAACTAGACTCATGTCTATTACCATGCACCAAACTAAAGTCAAAATAGATTTTAAAAAAATCTGAATATTAAAACAGAAAAAAACCTGATTGCACAAGAAGTATTACAAAGAAGGAACAACTGGGGTCTCATCTTTTTAAAAAGCTTTTACACAGCAAAAGAAATCACAAACAGAGTGAAAAGACAAGCCACAGTGTGAGAAAAAGGTTTCTGCCAGCTGCTCCTCAGACAAAGGGCTGTCTAGGATAAAGAACTTAAAGATATCAGACCTCCCTAATGTAAAGACCCCATCCAAAAATGGGCATCTGAAATGAATGCACAATTTTCAAATAAAGATACACAAACAGCCAATAGATATATATATATATGAAAAAATGTTTAATATCATTGATCATTCAAGAGATTCAATTTTTTTTAGATTTTTATGTAAGAATTCTTTTCCATTACATATACAAACTGGTTACTTTTTGTGTGTATGAAAATGATTGATTTTTATATGCTAACTACATTTCAATGGCTTATTAAGTTCTTGTTCTTACAAAATGTTTTATCCAGTTTATTGGAAAAATA